TTCATCCCAGCTTTGGTCGGATGAACAAGGACAGTTGAGAATCGTCTTACTCCCACTCAGAATTCTGAAGTGCACGAGGAAGCATGAAATTGTTTTATTTATTTACGATCTGCCTCGTTGTCCCTGATAATGAATGTGACTTACAACTTAGAATGGCATGAGAAAGACTTTTAACAATGGAGGAATGAGGAGGGGATGAAGGGAGGAGAGACAGGAGGGGTGAGAGAAGGCAAACAATATGAAACAGTTAAAAAAAAAGAAAGAACACAGAAAGGGAGAGGACAAGACCACATCCTCGCTAATTTTGATAAATTTGACAACAAGGTTTGGCCTTTCAACTAGCATTTTCTATAATGAAAAACAGATCTTTTCAAAGGCGCTCTTAAGATACATTTGCAAAAAGCTGGCCTTGTGTTCAAGTGTGAATGAAAAAGAAAATCAAAACAAAAAGCAAGCAGTCACATGGAGAATTTGAGGTAAAAGAGACACGATTTTGAAAAAGATCTGAAAAGAATAGCGTGGAAGGAAGACATTTGTCACATAAATGGCATTTTTATGGCAATTTATCTGACAAGATTTGAGAGCAAGGATCACGATAGCAAAGAACCAGTGTCTAAGAGAGGAAAAAGAAGTACCAAGTCACAAGAAGGGCATGCAGGAATGGAAGAGAAAGCAGGGGGGAAAGAAAGGAACAGTGGGGTATTTTGCTATCACCAATACTTGAAGGATATTTCCTGAGCCAAGGCGCTAATCCGGCTAGCATTAGCATTTTCATGAGTCCTGTGTCCGGGGCTTGGCAGAGCATGTCACTGCCTCATTTGGTTACTTATGTACACACACTCACACACACCTAGCACACATGCAGCACGCACTCACAACACAAGTAAAAAAACATCCTTCTTTTTGTGGGGGGGGGGCACCTGGCCTGACCGAGCACTGCTATTAATACTAGAGCTGAGAGACGAAAGGGATTTTCTATTAAATGAAAAGTTTAAAATCCGTTGAGACAATAAGAGTCTGGGACCAAACAGATTCCAAGAAAATAATTAGAAAAATGCTAACATGCACAACTGATGAGGAACAGATTAAGAGCTCAAAGACTGGCCATTAAACTTAATATAATGTTGCAGGTAGACAAAGTATCTTTGTCGAAACAGAATTGCCATCTACTGATTAATAAATGATAGTGAGTAAAGTAGGGTAGTGTAGTGAGGTGACATTAATGCAAGAGAAACACCATGTCGAACATATAGAGCCTGGATTAGTAAATAGATGAGCGCTGTAACTCTTACTGTGGGGGCAAATGTTAAAATATGTAGCATGATAGCATTGGTAAAAAGAAAAGAAGAAAGATCATACGGGTATAGTTTTATGACAGCCCATTGTTGTGCCTGTCCATGCTTAGCCTTAAAACGTCTGTCATGCCTCCCTTGACTCTGTTCATTCAAATTTGCATCCACATTACTGTTCCTCTTTCATCCTTTCAGTTTCGTGTTGCAACAGTCACTGCAGCCCATTTTCTCTTTGCTGGGGATACAAGTTACAGGTATACTGTAACATAAAAGTCTAATCTTTCAAACAGCTACTTGCAAAACCATTATATGCACTGTCTGCTGAAAATGGAACGAGAGAGTGGGAGGGAGAGTGGTTAATCTTTCTTACTAAAAAAGAAAAAAAAGAGTTGTTTAAAGATTGTCCTGGTGGTTGGACTATGCGGCAATCAACCGGTGAAATAAAAGAGATCTGCAAAAGCTAAATACGCAAGTAGAACCCGATGTACCAATCTATGCCTGAGAACATTGTTTGAACATCTGATTGCAATATTTCTACAACCATTATTATGCATCAGTCCTTTCACTTAATGCATTTAGGTGTGACTGCATGAAAAAAACATCTAAAATTGTAGCTCCACACTTCTCAGTTCTATCTCTTTTCAAATAAATGGGCTTTTCAAAAAGAAACACACAAAAAAAGTGGAATCTATTTATCGTTTTACAGTAGTACAGGTTCTGGAAGACAGCATCTAACAGAGCACTTGAACAAATGGGAGAAAAGGAGAGAAGTAGAGTGCTTCGATCTGTGGAAAATTCTTACAAAAGTAACTTAAAAAACAGAAAATGGAGCAAGAAAGGTATACAGATGCCTGCTCTTTTAAAACAATTGCGTAAGTACAGCATAAAAGTGCAACACAAAAGCTCCTCCGTGTGAAATGCCTACATCATTTTAAGAGTCAAAATCTTTGAGAGTACACGTCAAACACTTTGATGTTAGAGGAGTAATAACAGCTGGTTAGTAGTGGTCAAAGCTTAAGCAACCAGACTAAAGCCTCAGTGTTGAAAGCAGAGTAACTGCAACTAAACCCTAAAGTGTGTAAGTGCCATTCTATGTGCACAACGTTTTGTGTGTGTACAGTAATGGGATAGATATGTTTAGAACATTTTACTGATTAATGTGAAGCAAAGCAGTGGTAGCGCATAAAAATTAAATGACTGAATTGGAGTCCTCATCCACTTATCAAACCAATATTACACAAAATTTCAAGTAAACACACACAGAACGTAATGAGAAGAAGTAGAATGTCCTACATTCACTTGCCTGCTGTCTTATTTATATGAGGCTACAACAGGCAAAGAGAATAAATTGGAATTTTGAAAAGCACATCAAAACATTCTGTGTCAGGTTTGCTCTCTTTCAAAATAAATGATAGATTACAGTCATACTACAACTCAGACTACAGGGAATCTACCCTTCATCTCCTGATTCAGCTACGATGGGGAGACAACAATCTGATCTCTAACTTGTGGTGTTTATTAATTTGAAGCCGATCCGCAGCGCTTGGGACTATACCTGTGCCTTGGGGATGTTTAGTTGAAAACTGCAACTTTCAAACTGCTCTTAAGAAATCTGTTACTGTCCTGAGACAGTTGCACTTGTTAAGTTTTGTGCATGGTAGTAATTAATGCTTCTCACAGTAAATACGCCTCTAAACCTCTGCCAGCTCAGTTCTGATCTCTGACCTCCCTTGTGTAGAGAGCTGCGTCAGCTGGAATAAGCAAAATATCACAACAACCTTACTTTTTTGCTAAATAAATAGTCTTGAATAACAAAGCAGCTTGTCAGTGTAAAAAATAAAATTGAGATAGCTACTGTAAATAGCACCAGGGTGTTATTATTAAGTATTCTGAACTGGTTTTCTTTTATTGACTGAAATCTACTTTTACTGGCTACTCCTGGGACCTGTTTCTTTTTCAGTTTTCTTCAAACTACCACAAAGTAATGGCAAATGAAACCTGAATATAATAAATTTTTTAAGTATGAATTGAAAAGATGACACAAGTGACAGATACCGCAGCACCTGCACCTTCACCCTCTGGGATTAGGTTACAGTATATCCATTTTAATCACAACGAATGAGCAATGCACTCCTTAATGGCAGCAGGTGTTCAAGTGGGCTAATTTCAGAGTTGACAAAAAAAAAATCTTTTTAAGTGAAAATGCTTTAACTGCAGAAGCCTTTACAGTTAGACAAGATCAGTTATCGTTTGATCATCTTGGCACTGGAAAGCTTAAAGTTATCATTTGATGAGTCTGGAGCTTCCTTGAGGGTTCTCTTTGTAACTGTACCCACAGCATGCACATGTGAGGGCGCACATGCACACACACACACCGTATAGGCAGATGAGGACACAAGGAGCCAGAAATTCTCAGGCTTTGTCCAGCAGCACATAACAGAACGAACAAAAACCCACACAACAAAACAGAGATAAATCTGTATGGGTGGGGTGTCCCAGAGGCTTTTTAAAGTATTCATCTGACTTGAAACATGGAGTATTAAGCTTTGTGTCGCATGCGCTCAGGTTGATGTGTGTCGATTTGTCTGGAGGCTGCTGGATCTTATAGCTTAAGCTGCGATAAAAGTTCAAGGCTATCAAACGCTTACAGTGTACTTAATTTAATGATAAAGAAAGTTATTAACCAGACTTAATTTCATACCTAACTGGTTCAGGAAATTTACTGTATGACAGCCTTGGGTACAAAGAACAATGTTAAAAAACATTATAGGAATAATATATTATAATATTATATTACACAAAATGGTTACACCCACTGATTCACTGCAAGACTGATCCAAATCAAACAGTGTTATAGGAATACTATCAGAATATTTCTACACAGTTTCACTCAGCATAAGTCTGGACACCAGCTGTATCTTACCCTCTTTGAACTAGTGAACTTGCATATTTGGAGAATTAATAGGAAAATCATTAACTACTCATGAAAAGCCACCATTATAGGCCACTGTTTCATACTCATTTACATTTTTCTTATTTTGATTTGATCCCTCTTGAACCTTTCAGCCACATTAGTAGTGTGACTCTCGGGAAGGCAGTGGTGGTCGGTTGGTCAGTCACCCATCACTTTGGTCGAGACTGAAATATCTCAACGACTATTGGATAGATGGTGCCCTGACAATGAATCCTACTGACTTTGATGATGACTTTTCCTCTTGCACCACCAGCAGCTCTGCCAGAAATATCTCAACATCTACTAAATGTATTGACACACATTTTTCGCCGCTTGCATTGGCATTAAACTGTTGCTCTTGTTTCATTACAGCTCATTGTATCATGTCCTGTTTTTGGTCTTTGATGTGTTTGAACAGATAGCATTTTTATTCATAAATTGGAATCTGCTTTATCAGTTAAGTCAGTCAGAACATTTTTAAATTACTTTTTGACTGAGGGAGAGTGTTTGTGTTTAGGTGGATAATGCTATATGCATTGTAAAATCTCAATCTCAGAAAGCTCAACACAAAAAAAATAGTGTGGATTAGATGGTGTTTTCAGAAATATTAATGTTCAGCTCAGACACTACACATCCAAACACACATCCGATTGCTTTCTTTGCATATATTTTAAATAAAAATTTTGTCACTAACTCTGAAAGTGACCCTTAGGTAAGAATAAAAGGTAGAGGCTTAAACTGGGGCTGTAACCTACCGGTGGGAAAGTCCACTTCAGTAGTGGAAGTAATCGGCAGAGGATCTTCAATCCAGGGTGTAGCATGGACAGCAACACTCCAGTCACTCCATGTTCCAATCTCTGTGTCCTTGGCAGCCACCTGTTGGACAAAAGGACAGTAAAAAGTAGTCAGCAAATTATAAGTGTACATATGTATACTGATTTATATATAATGCCAGTCTGTCTAATGGCTATCAAGTTGATATACATACAGTAATTATGGGAACAAGCTTCAGTCATTCTGTTAAAATTCATTCATTGGCCTATTCACTGATTATACTATTTTTTTATGAAGACAAACTTGGATGACTTGGTGGAAAGGAAACCCTGTTGTTGGATCTGTTGATTTTGGTGGTTTTGGAAAAGGATTTATGTTTGTTTACTGTTTGTTTCTGAGTTTTGAGGCCTCAACTTTAGAAGAAATAATTGTTCCTGAATGTTTTTTTAGATAATACATAATTAGACAAGGATTGTCTTAGGCCTTAAATGATCAGTCAGGTTGAAATGGCATGAGTGTTACCTGGATGATGTATTCCTTCCCAGCATAGGCATCGGTGATGATATGGGAGGTACTGTCAGATAGCTCCACCTAAACAGAAGAGAGCAGGTGGTCACTTGGGTAAAGTTCACTGGGTTATAGTTGGACGAGTTAAAGCTTATTTTTTTCTTGAAACCTAGTCTCAAAGTAGTTAACAAAACAACCTTATTTAGCACTGATATACACATTTGTGACTGGGTTAGATGGCCCTAGGGATATGAAATGTTCCAACATGATGAACTATGAAACTAAAAAAAGTAGTTATGAGGTCCTAATTGAACTTTCTGTCTTAAAACCCTACCCTTCTACCCATATAGCTCTACCCATGAATTATGTGCTCAGTATAGCCATCCTTGCTGGAGTCTTTAATTTTTTATGTTGGGTAGATTCAGCTGTGCCATACAGAATACAATTTTTATTCAGTGCTCATTTATTTACAACACACCTTCATCATTATTCTGGGCATAGGTCAAGTCCGTTGCTTTATCCTTGCGGTGTTTTACATTTCACTGAATTGACTGAACCTTTATGCCCCCGCAGCCTTTAGACACCAAACATACCAACACTCAGACACGCATGCAAAATACCAGTGGCATAATTGATGATTATACCAGAAAGCTTTGGCATCAATGCCACGTAATTTCATAACACAATATAATGCATGCCAACATTTGAAAGCCTTTTGTGCACACTTTAATTTGCAGAGCGCAACAGAGAATGAACTAAATGTTTGAGTCACCAGGGAGTGCATGAGAGAATGATTTGCTGGCTCTCTGTAATTTATGGTTAGTGTTATGTGTGTGTGTGCATCTGTGTGTGAGTGTGTGTTCATTTGCCTTTGGCCTCTGTCTGACAGATTGAAGGAAAAATAGGGAAAAAGAGGGTGCTGCCTTTTCTAATCTTGAAGTAGAATTAAACGATTTAGTGACATGTCTGTTGCCTTCTGCAGTCTACCAGTGCAACAACACACACACCTAGACACACACCTCAAGACCCCAAGTCTGGGATCTTATGCAACTGTTTCTATTGGTTATGATGCTATTGTGCCCACCAAGTTAATTGCTGACATCTGGTAACAAAGTGATATCACTACAACAAGGTGCAACAGGGCAGGAAACAAGCAGTCAGATGTTCAGACAGGTTGTAAGATTATCTTAACTGCTTAATTTATAAGTCATAACTGAACTGAGAATGGATGGATGTCTACAACTGACAGCTTGGGTCATACTATCACCTTTGATTTCTCTTGAAAATAACATACTAATGATGGAAATTATGGCCAAAACTAAGACTTTAAATATTTTTGATATCTTCAGCTGAAGAGAACAGAGTGTGATTTGATCAAGAACCCGAGAACCCCTCACACCACCATGTAATTTTTGCCAACCACCAGCCGTAACCAAGCCTCCGATTGGAGTTTCCCTTTCAGTTCTTCAGGATGTGCAAATCTGGAGTCGATCTCACAAATAACCCCCGCGTACATCCCCAATGTGCATGCTTCCTCTGTCTTCCTGTAATCTGTCTCTCATCGCTCAACCTTCCTGTAAAGTTGACCCTTCTGTTTTCAACTTTGCCTTGATCTTCACAGCCTCTCTCTAACGGCTCTAATTCTTTGTCTCTCGCCCCTCTACCCTCTGTTTGGAAGGAAGTTCAGGCTTTATCTGCCTAACCGAGCACTACATTTACAGGCTTAATTTAATTAGTGGAATGCAATAACAATGTCATCCGAGCATGTGTGTGTGTTACATGTTGCTGGTGAGTGCTGTGTGTATGTGTGGTTATGCTTTAGTATATATAGTGTGTGTACATGATGTGTGTGTTAACAGACGTGTGTGCAGCCTTTGAGGCTAAATCTTCCCACTGTTTATATGTAGTCCAACCAGCGTATCCAACCATAGCTTCTATCAGCATTCCTTCCTCACTCTAATGTGTGTGTTATTGTGTGTGTGTGTGTTTGCATACCAGTGTCTATGGTGTAAAAGCTTGTGAAAGTTCAGCTTTACATGTGCATCTGTTTGATTCCATTTGTTCATTTAAATCTGTGCATTTGCCTTTATTTTTTTGCATGTGTATGTGTGTGCTTGCATTTGATATGACTTTAAAAAAGAAAAACACACTAGTTTGGGAAAATATGCCTCCCTACATTTCTGTTTGTTTTTCTTTGTACACACATGCTTACACTCATGTCAGTACATGTCTGTAGCATTGTTGTTTGTGTTTGCAAAACTCAACTGGAACTGGCGCTGGTGTGTGTGTGTGTGCATGTATGTGAATATATGTGGAGGAGTATGGAGTAAACAGCTTGCAGATAAACATTTCCAAAGAGATGGATGTGTTGCTGCATTGCCAAGTGGCTAAACAGGGAGCAGTGAGAGCAGCACTTAATATCACGTACTGGAGGGAGGGAGTGGGGCGCTGAGAATGAGGCAGGGAAGAGGGGAGATAGATAGATTAAAGGGGAGATGCATTTTGGAGAGGCTGCCAAAAAATACAGTCATATCGTTCACACTGCAAGACCGAGCCTGTGTGTTGTGGCAGTGGTGGTGAAGTGATGTATATTTACTTTTTGCTGTGTCTGTGTGTCTGTGTGTGTATTTATGTTTCATATGTGTCTACAAGGCTGATGATTTGTATACTAAGTTGTTCAGAGCTGTAAAGAAAAAACTGACTAGAGCAGTGTTCATAAAAAAAGGTATGTACACCCAAATATTTACCTTACCATAATCATGTGCCATGTAAATATGCTTTATTCACTAAACCCAAAGTATAATATGATAATCATAATAATAAAGACTCTACCCAAATGGATTGACCACAAAATGGGCTATTTTGAAAGTAATGATCACTAAATGTCTTCACTCTGGAGAAATGTGCCGATTTCGTACATAAACACCATATGTCCGTTCATTGTAAACAGCATATGTGAGCATGAATGTTTGACGGTGAACCAGAGAACACAAGATGTCAGCCTATTATTGCAGGGATTATCATCAGAAGCAGCACACCTGGATTGTCTAACCCCTTTTGAACGTGCATGAAAATGCAAATTCATTGTTGCTTCCTCCCTAAACCAAGGTGCAAAAACTTTACAGGAAAAAACTCAAACCACAGAGGATGCAATTTTAGAGGAGTCTTAAAGCTGCAGCTGTTGGATAAACATTTAACTTGGCTCAAAATCCAGCAACTGCTATCAAATTTAGCCAGCTCCCTTAGCCGTATTTCCATTTCAGCCAACAGATCTTCCTAAATGTTAGACACATACTACTGAACATTTTGGGGCTCCATAACAGTGACTCTTTGTACGATCACTGATGATACAGTGTGTTCAATGGAATCACAACAGATGTTCTCTTAGATATTATCAAACTGCGATGTTCAAACCATTCCAGGTGTTATTTTCCAGTGTCATCTCGTATGCTCGTTCCTTAAAGTTGCCGCAACTACTTTGAGCCTCACTTCCATACGATGCCTTTTACAGGCATATACAGGCTGCGGGTTGTCCCTGTAGGTGGGGTCATTCATGCAAGTAATGACAAGAGAGCAAGAGTCTGTGGTCAGTGACCTTCATATGGAAAATGTTAGTATACTGTGGACTATCTTTATGCCATATATAATGTACCTTGAAAAATATATAAGACGAACAGCACAATGTAGCAACAATGTGTAATTTCAAAATATTCTGATGCATTGCCAACATTTACCCAGACTCCCCAAAAAAAGAAAGACTGGGAGTGAAGAAGATGAGGAAGAGAAGCTTAGAAATTCACTCACACACACAGAGCTTAGTGCTACAATGCACACACACATGCACACACTCCCCAAGAGCCTCTACACAAATCCAGACAATGTGAGGGGCAGGGAGAGGAGATGTGGACATTCCTCAGGGATTGCATAAGGAACTGTGAGAAAAGAGAAGTGACCCTTTACTTTTCACACATCCTTTTTTTTTTTTTTCCCTCCTCTCCTCTCTCTTTTTTGTCTCCTACCTTCTACAACCCTCTTTCTTGTGCCTTCCTTAATCATTATTCCATCTTGTACTTGTGTTTACTGTTGCAAAAAACTCAAATAACTTTCCCTCTTGGATCAATAAAGTTTCATCTCATCTTCAAATATACATTTACTGTGACATTGTGCAAATACAAAGAAAGGAAGGAACCGGACTGACCCCTATGCTTACCACCAACAGCGGGTCATACAATGTTCAATAAGTCCAATAAAAGGACATACATACCTTAAATACAACTCACTTGATATACTTATCATATATTAGCAGATATTGTGTCATATATATTGTTTATAGACACATAATAGAGATAAGATAAGCAGAACAGCAGGGAAAAGAGGAAAAACATAAAGAAAGAGCAGACAGACAGAAGAATAGGGAAAAATGAAGAGGCTGCAAAAAGAGAGAAAAACAGTGAGATGCACAAAAAAAGAGACAGTCAGAGAAAGCAAGAGAGAGAAGGAAAAGCAGAGAGGGAGACATGGAGAGAATTGGCGTCGGTGGTCAGATCTAATCCAGTGAGCATGTCTGTTGTCCTGGAAAGGAAACCCAATTATATGGCACTTCCACTGGCCCGATGGCGCTCTGTGTGTGTATGTATGTGTGTGTGTGTGTGTGCACTGAGAAGGTTGGTCTCATTAGGTTGACTGACAGCTCCCATTTTTCCACCGTGCACTCCTCCCATTTGAGCACACACACACACACACACACACACACACTCATGCACAGAACGCCAAATCCAGGGGTAATTTCTCAGACAGTATTTCCCTCTGTGAAGCCCCAATCGCCATAGCAGCAATTACTGTAAAAGGAAGCTAACCCCCCCAGCCAATCCCAAACTACACCTTGCACACTTAAAAAGCATGGGGTAGTTTCAACAATGCAGCGTTGGACCTGTCTCCACATTAACTCTGGTTTATGCTGTCATGCCGACATGTCAAAAATGTCAAACATGAACATGTCATGAGAGGTCAAATTTGAATCAAAATTCATCCCCATTTTCCCTATTCTCTCTTCTGTAACAGCTCTAAGAAATATAGACATATGA